TGCGGGCGGGGCCGGGCACAGCCAGTCTCCCGCCGCCGCCGCTGCCGGACTCGCAGAGCGAGGGGCTGCTGGGCCGACGACTGCCCACCTATCGAGCGGGCTAGCGAGCGCGGGGTCGCAGCGCAGGGGGCGTTCCCGGCCAGGACGAGGGTCGCGGCGTTGCCCTTGGCGAGCGTCCGGATCGCAGGTCAGCACTGTGGGCTCCGGGCCGGGGGACGGGACCTTGAGGAGGGGGTGTCCCGCTCGGGACGCGCTGCTTCCCGGACCCTGCCGTTTGCCCCCCGCCACTTTGAGCGGGTGCCGGGGCGGGGACAGCCCGGCCCCGGACGGCGCGCCACGGCCGGAGTCCGGGTCGGGGGGCGACACTCTCAGGTTTTCCGCTCCCCGCCCCCGCGCCCCGCCGCTGGGACCCCAAGAGGTCCCGGCGCCCCGAGCGCCGGGCGGGTGGCTGCCGAGCCGTGGTTGCGCGCTGGCGGCGGTCTGGCCACGGGCGCGCGTCCGCGGGTGAGTTCCCTTTTGACCCAGTTGCCTGAGAACTTTTCAGAAGTTCCTCGCATGGCCGGAGCAGGTGACATTTGTCGCCTTCCTCCTCGGGCTCCCCCCGGGGGCGGGTGCCGGGGCTGCGGCGAGTGCCCGGCGTCAGTCAGGGAGGGAGTGGAGGGGTGAGAGTGGAGTGAGGCTCCGTGAGTCACGGACCCCGGGAGGGAGGGAGGAGGAGGGATTGTGTCGTACGCTCACCTGTTTGTCAGTCACCGTCACACGCAGAGGCCACCGCTGTGAGTCACGGGCGCAGCTACACCGGCCACCCGCGGGCACATGTAGGCTTCCCCCACGCACGGCTTCCTCCCCAGCACGTACTTCCTACAGGTCCTCAGTTTCCCCTCCCCGGGGGCCCTTACACCGGCACGGCACTGTTGAGATGCCCACACTACAGCAGCCGTCACACACTTAGTCACTCCTGCTCCCTGGCACAGTCACACACAGCCCACACTCCTGACACAAGGGGGTCCCTCCCGGGCTCCACTGCCCACTCGACACCTCCACTCAGATGTCTCAGTCCTCTGGAGCGGAACTCATAGCTTACCCCCAAATCTTCATCATCACTGCCTTCTTTGGTCCCCCCCTCCAGAGGTCACCGGGTTCCCTTCCCCTTTCTCCTAAGCCTTATGGCCTGTCATCTCTCACCTAGCTCTGGCAGCTTGGTCCAACCGGTCACACCCCCTTCTGTCCCTTGCTGAGCCATCTTTTTAAAATGCAAATCTGGTATTGTCACTCCCTACTTCAACCCTTCTGTGGCTTCCTGTGCCCTCAGGCTAAAGCCTGCCCTGTCAGCCCTGGCTCCCGGGCTCCTGAAGCCCCCTCCCAGGCCGCCCCTTCCCCCTCATCTCTCTGCCTCTTCCTCTTCAAGTCCCTCCCACTTCCTGTGCCCCTCTCTCTCTCTGGAGCTTTTCCTACATCCCATTCTTTACTCCAAGAGATCTGTCTTCACCCCCAGCTGTACCCCTCCCACCCTCCATCCCAGCACTCAGCACGGTTTGTAACTCATTATACTCCTCCCCACTAAACTCAAAACTCCAAGGGGGCAGCACTGGTCTGTGTCTTGCTCCCTGTATGCCCAGGTGTGTGACACAGTGCTTGGCATGTCTTAGGCGCTCCATAAATATTTGTTGAAGGAATGAATGAATGAGAGTGAAGGGGGCCTCGCTTAGGTGGAAGAAGCAGTCTCTGTCAGGTGCAGTTTCATTTCTGCAGGAGCAATTGCCTTATGTAGCCAGCAAACGTTTGGCACCTCCCCAGCCAGGCCCTGGAGGCCAAGGCTGAGGAACTGCCCCCTCCCCCGGTTTTCACTTTTGGAGGGATGGGTGGGGGAGGGGTGTGCCAAGGCTTCCTGCCTGCCCTCTCTGGGCTGCCCTGGCTGCCTTTCTAGCCAATCCCCATGGGGGCCTGAGGTACTCAGAGGTGCTCTCTCCTTCTGCCAGTAAGTAGTTCCTGAGGATCCGAGGTCATCTGACCCCAGGTACTGTGGGGAGCTGGCCTGGCCTGGCCGAGGCCTGGGACTCTGAGGTTAAAGGACATTCTTCAAATTCCTGAAGGAGGGTGGAGGCAGCTGAAGGTGCCCCCTTCTCAATACTAGCTCTCACTGGGGGCCAGGGCATTGGGACAGCTGTGGTCGAAGAGGAGTTGGTGTGACTTTTCAGAGGCCTGAGGATTCCTGCCCTCAAACAGCCTTTGTTTGCCTGGTACCCAGGGTGAGGTGGCCTTCCCTCGGCTCACGTGGTGTGGCCTGAGTGTGTAGATAGTTGTGGCTAGTAGGGTGGGGAGGCGCCCCTCCTCCTCCTGGGCTGTCAGCTTCTGTGGGTGGTGACGGCAGGGCGGCCTGATTCTCAGGGCCCAGGCAGATCCCGGAAGAAGCCTGGTTCTCTTAGATTCAGGGCCTGTCTCCGGGGCTCCTTGGGGGTGTGGTATTTCTGTCTGAGCAGGCTCCTGGGAATTGCTTTTCCTTCCTCCAGGACCCTCGGAGGGGGCTGTGCTCACCCTGGGAATGGTGCCACGGTCAGGATCTTGATTCCTGGGTAGCTGCTGAGGGCCCCTCCCCCACCCTCTGACTCACTGTCTGACACTTTTCTTGGACTCTTTCACTATCTTTCATTCCTTTTCTGACTTGGCCTCTCCTGTCTCTGGCTGAGTCTTTTTGTCTCATCTGCCTCTGCCTCTCTCAGCCTCTGGATCCCTAGATCGGGCGGCGGAGCACAAGAGCCAGGGGCTCTTCCTCCTCCCCAGTGTCAGGGAGGAGATGATTTCCCATTTCCAGGTCTGCAGATTTTGCTGGGTGCTCATCATTAGAACCTGCACCACGGGCTGTAGCTTTCCTGTGTCCCCGTTTCCCTGTCTGCAGCCTTGGAGTTTATAACCCCCTCACCTTAAGCTCCCATTCTGTAGACATCCCTGAGGCAGAGCCAGGGTGTCTGGCTTGAACCTGCTTCCTTAACACTCCTATTTGTTTACTCTTGGGGAACCTCCTGAGATGCCTGTGTTGGCACCTGCCTGCAGCCTGAGCTTCCTTTTCCTGCTCTCAGAGCTACCCCCTTCTGGGTGCTATTCTTGCTCAAACCCTCAGGCACAGGTTGGGGGATGGGCACGTCCTCCCCTCCAACTAACTGTGACAGGAGCAGGAGGAGGGCACACTGACCAGTGGGCCCCCGTGACCTCATGTGCCTAAATCGTTTCTCTGTGTATACCTGATCTGCAGCGTCAGCTGCCTACCTCTGATGGTCCTCAGGAGCCTTCTCTGTGCCAGACTCTATTCCAGGCACAGGCACAGTGCCGATCAGGCCGAGAGGCCTTCAGCCTGGCATGAGGGAGATGAGCAGTGAGGCCATTGCAGGAAGGGACCGTAATGGCTGCGATGGGGGAATCCCAGAGCCCGTGGGAGCCCAGAGAGGCATGTAGTGGGGAGGAGTGAGGGTTTCAGGGAGGTCTTCTTGGAGATGACTTCTAAAGGGGAGTGAGGCTGGGTTCCAGCTTGTGCAAAGGCCAGGAGGTGAGCAGGTCATGGCCATTTGGGCAACTGCAAGCTCAGCTGGAGTATAAATTGAGGGGGCTGGGGAGAGTCTTGCATGATGAATCTGGAGGGGAGGCAGCAGCCAGGCCTTTCTCAGCCTCTTTTGGAATTGTGGACTTGATCCTAAGGGCTCCCCTTAGGGAATGATTTTCTGCATGGGGGTGGCAGTAGATAGACTCGCGGTTTAATAAGATCACTCTAGCTGCAGGGTAAAGAGTGGCTGCGGGCAGAGGGCAGGAACAGAGGCCCGGGACGTGGGTAGTAGCAGTGGAACAGAGACATAGGGGTAACAGACTTTCAGAATTGAAGGTGACATACGTAAAATGCACAAAGTATATGAATCTTATGTGTACAGTGAGATGTTTTAGACACTCATGGAACCACCACCCAGATCAACATAGAATATTTCTAGACACCCCTCACCCCCGCCCTGGGAAAATTCCCTCATGACTGTCCCCAGTGCATGCCCTTCCCACTTGCTGGATAACCACGATTCTGAATTGTATCATCACTGATTGGGTTTGCCTTTTCGTGAACTTCATTCACATGTAATCTTGTGTCTGGCTTCTGTCACTCAACATGATATCAGTGAGATCCATCTGTATTGTGTGTATCCAGGAGCTCTTTCTTTTTTTCTCAGTGTAGAATGACACATTCACCAAGCATTTACCACTGTTCTAAGAACCTGACATGTAGTGATTCACATAAACTTCCCATCCCAGTGAGGTTGTAAGACAAAGAATTGAAGACACAGAGAAGTTAAGGAACTTGCCCAGGGTCACCCAGCCAACTGATAGCCAAGACAGTGTTCGAATGTAAGCAGTCTGGTTCTGGAGCCAAGGTTTTCTTAACACTATGCTGGGTGGCCTCCGTGATACCTACCAAGTCTGTGCCTGGCCTTGTGTGTGGCTTAAATGAGCTAATGCGTACTTCCAGGACTGGGTGACTGGATGTGGATGGAGGGAGACAGGAAGGAGTTGAGGATGACTGCAGGTTTCTGGCTTGAGTAAGTGGGTGGGTGGCAGTGCTGTTACTAAGATAGGGAACACAGGAAGAGGAACAGATGGCATGGGGGGTGGGGAACAGAGACAAGGGGTTCGATTTGGGGCCTGCAGAATTTTGTTTCTAAGGGATGGCCAGGCAGAGAGACCAAGTGAGCCTTTGGTTCGGGGGAATCTCAGGCTTAGGTGTGTGATTAGGCCAGCATTCAGCACCCTGTAGACAGCATCTGGAGTTTGGGAAAGGACGGGGTCTCCCAACGGGATGGTGGTGGGGACAAGATGCGTGGGGTGTGGTTTGTGCTTGTGTGTTTCTGTGTCTGGGTGCCTCTGTGCTCTGTCTGCTTGTGTGTATGTGTGGGTATGCCTGCCTCTGGGCCATGAGTTCCCGCATCTCCTGTGAGAGCCTTCAGGTCAGCTGAGAGCTGGGTTGTGTTTGTTTGTGGTTTGACCCTGGGGGGTGGGGGGTGGTGCCAAGCCTGAGAAACTATTTGCTGAGAAGCCCCCGGAAACACCTGTGCATCCTCCTTCCCTGGGCCCGTTGTTGTTGGAGGGTTGGCAAGTCGGGGAGCTTCTCTTGCTGCTCATGTGCCTGTGGGGAGAGGCTGTCCCTGGGTTGAATTTCATCTAGCAAGTTGGTTGACGGCATACCGCCTGGGTCTGGGATCCACAGACTTTGTGGAAGGCTAGGCAAACGGGGATAGGGGTTTTTAGAAAGGACACCTGAGTAGGGGAGATCGCCAGCCTTCTGGTTGGTTTTTCCTGTTCACTCTCATTTCCTGTGATGGCAGTGGGGGAGGGGCTCCCCAGCACTGGGGCCTCTGCATCGTTTCCCCTTCCTCCTGGTGACCTCCTGGGGCCCAGCCCTGAGTGCTCAGGAGGCACAGAAAGACAAGGTAGCTGGGCTCAGCCCTAAGGACCGAGTCCTTTGGGGATTCCCAAGCAGTGGAAGGGGTTGTTATTTGCTGCAGCATTTAAGGGAAGGAGCCCCAAGTGCCCTCCACTCGGTTGAGGCCAGCCAAGCTGTGGGAATCTCTGGTTGCACTCCTGTGGAAGGCTGAGACCCTTAAAGGGGAGACACAGCGAGCAGTGTATCCTGGGGTGCTCCAAGTCACCCAGCTACGGACGGGAGAGCGTCGTCTTGGCCGGTCAGTTTTACTAGAAGAGGGTTTTGTTTTTTAAGGGGAGAAAATAATTTCCCTAGGAAGTTATTTCAAACAAACAGGGTTAGATATTGGAGTGGAAGGCAAGATGAAGGTGAATTTTGAAGATCAAACAGGAGATGCTAAAGAGACACAAAGCCCAGGTGGCTCTGGCCCCAGTCAGGCCTGGAGGCCGGGGACTTCTCTTGTGGGCGGGGGTTTCTAAAGGAGAGTCCGAGCAGCTCCATCACAGGGAAGTTGGATGCTGGAAATCGGGGCTGGTGTCAAAGCCACCCTGTTCCCTGAGTCCTGGTCAGCCTGGCCCCTAACGAGGGCCCGTTGCCGGGGTGTGCGGGCGGCGTGTCTGTGGGTGTGCTAGGGGCAGGAGGAGGAGGAGGAAGAGCCACTGTACGAGGGCCGTGCAGGCTGTCGGCGTGCGCCCAGCCTCACACACACAAAGGCACACAGATGCAGCTGTGTGAATCACCCAGCCAGTGAGTCAGCCCCAGGATTCCTGCCGGGGAATGAGCGTGGCCAGGCTGAGGTCTGTCGGTCCATCTGTCAGTCTGGCGTGTGCGTTCGTGTAGGTGGGTTACAGGAGGTAGAGGGGAAGGTGCCCGGTGCTGTCCCAGGAAGGCTTTGGGGCAGAGGTGGCGGGAGTCTGTAAGGGCCAGGACTAGGGTTTGGATCTCAGTGCTCCGTCTGGTGCAAAGAAGCCTACTAGGGATGTGGCCCTGGCACGTAGGGCTCCTCAGGGAGGGCCTGGGTTACCTCGGAGGGTGGGTAGGAGAGGTGATGACCAGGGCTGGGTGCCCACCTCCGCCCTCAGGCCTGCCATCTAGAGCTTTCCCCTTCCTGTTCCAGGCTGTCTGTGCCCAGACCCCAGAGTACCCCTCACCACCATGACTGGGCTGCTGAAGAGGAAGTTTGACCAGCTGGATGAGGACTCCTCCTCACTCTGCTCGTCCTCCTCCTCTTTGTCCTCCTCGGGCCGCCACTCTCCCTCCTGCTCCCCGAGCTCTTCGGCCTCCCCGTCTTGGGACTCGGATGAGGAGGGCCCCTGGGATCAGACGCCCTTGCCTGACCGCAACTTCTGTGGCCCCCGAAGTTTCACCCGTGAGTCCCTTCACCCTGGGAACCCATTACACCCCTCTTTCCTTCCTGAAGGTGCAATTGGGGGGCCCTGATCAAGTCGTTCTGGCCTCTGGAGGTCGTGTCCCCATGGCTTTAGCTTCCCTACTTGACGCCCCACCTCATCCACTTCCTGTCCTACATGGGTCACTCGGGAGTGCCCCCTGTCCAGAGGCACTTGGGTCCAGCTACATTCACCTTTAACCTTGGGACTCTCCAGCTTAGAAGTCATCATGTTCAGGGCAGGGCTCCTCAGTGGCCCTGGGACCTTCCCGCCCAGCTCTGTCCCTCAGTTCCTGTTTTGTTTCTCCAGCTGGCTCCCTATCCTCTACCCGCTGAACTGCCCGAGTCCCACACCCCATGCTTCTGTGCTGAGGGGCCTGTCAGGCCGGTCCCTCGCCTAGCAAAATGCTGTTTGGCTTTGCCTGAACTCAGTGAAAAGGTTTTTTCCCAGTTATTTTTTCAAGCTTGCGTAAGTCTGATTCCAAACTGACAAAGATGGCCCTAGAGCAGTGTTTCTCAACCTTATTTTTCATTATTGCACCCCAAACCCCAAGGAGCCCATTTTTTCCCTGATCCTCCCACCATGATGTCTTAATACCACAGATATGTCTATTTATGTACTATATGCATATCTGTACATTATACATGAGAAAGTATAATTTTCACCAGATAGAATCTAACAGTACATTAACTGACTAAACTACCATGGGTTTACTTTGGAAATACAAGGATGGTTTAATACTATAAAATCTAATCAATATAGTTTACCAAATGACTGTGTCAGAGGAGGAAAAATAGAAGAGCTGTTGTAGATACTGAAAGAATATTTGATAACATGTAATATTCCTTCCAGATAAGACCCTCTGTATGATAAGAATAAGTAAATTCTACCTTAAATGATAAAAAAATATATGTCTCAACCTAAAACTTGGCATTACAATTAATGAGGAAATACTGGAAGCAGTCCCACTTAATCAGGTACAAGATGAGGACACTGTCTGTCACCACTGTTAATTGACATTGTTCAGGAAGTGCTAGACAATTCAGTTAGCAAAGAGAATGAGAAATATACTGGATTGGGACAGGCAAAATTGCCATGATTTGCAGGTGTTCTACTACATGATAAATTCAAGAATATGTATACAGAAAACCTATTAGAAGGGAATTCCCTCAGGTAGCTGGGTACAAAATTAATATATTAAGTTTAAATATATGGAATTGCTAAGATTTGATTATTTCATGGTAACTTCTTATGGTTCAACCTAATAAAAATCAATAATATACCAATATATATATCGAATATGCCAATACATAGCTTACTAATCAACATACGTAATAACTTATAAAGGGTAGACCTTTCTAAGCTTGTTGCAAAATACAGAAGCTATAAAGGAAGAGCTCAATATACTTTTGATTATATAAACCTTAGAAATTATTTCATAAAAGCCCACAAGCAAAAATAAAGGACTAGCAGAAACTAACACAACATTGTAAAGCAACTATATTCCAATAAAGATGTTTTTAAAAAAGGACTAAAATATTTGCACAGATATGTTAGATGATTAATGTCTAATATTGAGTATATATAAAAAGCTCCTACAAATAATTTTTTTAAGAACTATAGAGGGACTTCCCTGGTGGCCCAGTGGTTAAGACTCCGTGCTTCCACTGCAGGGGGCACGGGTTCCATCCCTGGTCAGGAAACTAAGATCCCGCATGCCGCATGGCCTAAAAAAAAAAAAAAAAAAAAAGAACTATAGAAAACTGTTCAGGGGAACTGTAAATGGCTACTAAAGATGGGAAAGATATTTAATGCTCTCATTTGGACTGGTAAATAACAATGAGCCAGTGTTGACATAGGGTGATGTTGCATTTTACCAGCTCCAGTCTCGGCCAGGCCGGCTCCTAGGCTCAGATCCATTTCTTTTTGGGGGGGGGG